GTGCCGCATGCTACCAAGCCGATGGCGGCGTCGGCCGCCTTTTTCCCGCAGTGTAAAAATGCAGACGCAGCGGCTGGAGAAATGGAACAAGCGCGACAAGCAACTGATCTCCGGCATGTCGAAGTTCGTGGACAAGGCTGTCAGCATGCCTCCGCTGTAGCAGCTGTAGCATCAGCTGCCTGTCTGCATATAGGCAGAACTACAATGCTACATACCCTAGGTTATAAGGGTGTTTAGGTTATAAGGGTATTAGGCCTCGGAACCCCCTCAGCTTTTTTCTCCAAACTGCCCGAATTTTCCCCGCAAGTTTGGAGTGGCGGAGTCTTCCTCGGAAGGGAGTTACAAGGAGCGGGAATGGTCGCCTGAAGCTGCGTTTGAGGCCATACAACGCCAAAAATTACACACCAGGGGGCAAGGGTGGATGAGAACAGCTATCCACAGTATTAATCAATTTTCCCGCCGGGGAAATGGATGTGGTTACTTGCTTAGTGAAAAGTACCACACTCTGGCACAACGGGTCCCATGTTCAAATTTCCTACGCAAAGTACTCTACCTGATCGAATAGCCAGCCCGCTTATTTCCTTGGCAGTGTCAAGGCTGGTGCGGCGTGCGCCTAACATGGTGACTGCCCACCACAACGCAATCCCGCAAGTTTTGAGGTGGCAATTATTATCGTCGTCCGCAAGGTAAGGATGGGCTTCAGATAATTCGACCGCAGACCAAACAGCGGCAAAATGCTCTTTACATAAGGTCAAGGTTTCCGGCTTTGGAAAGGGGATTATTATCGTACATATTTCTAGGAGGTTGGGGAATAAAGACCTCTGTAGCCACACAGAAAACGATATACTTGCAAATACCTATTCTGTTCTAATAAGCAGCGGCACCCCGCAGGTGAGTCCGTATACACGCGTATCTAGAGCTACAAGAGAAAATTCTTAAGTGCTCGAAGCCTGGTCAGGAGTGTGGGTCATAACTAGCGAATCGCTCCGTGGCGACCTGCACAATATCTTCCATTGTTTCTTAACCCATATCGTCTTTGTCTGCTTTCGTCGCTTTTGAAACTGGGAGATACATTAAAGAAGGTCTCGCCCTCTTTTTGCAGTGTTCGAACAACTCGAACGAGGAGATTTGATCAACCTTCGAGGGGTCCACAGGAAAAGAAGCAAGGCCCATGTTATGCCCCGAGAACTCACTTCGTATCTCGGAATTTCAGTGACAGATCATGGGCCAATAGGTGAGTCTGCAGGCTCGTGGCTGGTTTGATACCGCTTCTCTGCTTTTGACAAGGTGCAGGTTGGTTGAGCTTATGGTGCTTGCATTCAGAGGCTCGAGGTGAAAGCGTGTTTTCGGCAACAATTTATGGTTCTTTCAAGACGTTAAGATATCTGTTACGATCGTCAAACGCTAGAATGGGGGAGCTTTTGGATAGATACCACGGAGGATCTGTAATCGAATGGCGTGAGTGACACCATGAGACAGTTTCTAATGATTGCATTTGCTTCGCAAGAAAACCCTCCTGTATGCCTCAACGACTAATTAGTATCCGCCCTCGACACCTACAACGCAGTCCCTCGTTCAAACGACTCCCTTATATCCGTCGTATACTTATCATAGAACCTCCGCAGCTTGAGATTAAACTGCTTGTTCTTCTCATTGATGTACGTAACATCCTTTTCATCCCTATTTCTCTCCCTCCTCTTCCTCAGCCGCACCTCTTCCGCCTGTTCCAGATCCTTAACAAGCCTATCCACCGCCTCTTTGGAAGGTTGACTATGCTTAAATGAATCCTCCACAAACCCACCCCCATATTTATCAACAGCAATGACCTCCCCCTCAAGCGTTTCAACAAGTTCCAACCCACCAGATGCAACCGCCCGATCAATTTCCTCCTGTTTATCCCGTTTATATTGCTCCTTTCTCTCCTGCAGCGCAGTCTTATCTCGCGTCATCTGTCCAACCTGCCTCTTGTAGATCTTATTCGCCTCATCAGCATAGTCGCGAAACGCGAGGTTGTTCTCTCTGTTCTTTGCCTTCTTCGCGAGACGTTTATCCCACCGTTCAGACTCTTCAATCGTCCAGTCCCAAGCGCGCTTCCGCTCGAAATCCTCCCCACGCGCTTCAACTTCTGCTTTGAGGAGGTTGTGGGCCGCAATGTCGCGTTTGCGGTTAAGGGCGGGCAGCTGGGAGATGTCGATTTTCTGTCGCTGGGCTTCGGTTTGGGAGGCGTGGAGGTTTGCTTCGCGAGAGGCTTGGATTCGCGATTTAAGGGCTGCGAAGCGCGCTGCTCGCGGGTCTTGGGCTGGTGCTGTTGTGGTTGTAGAGGGTGTTGCGCTCTCGTTGGGCGTTGTTGCTGATAGGAGAGGTACGTTTTCTTCCTGGATGCTTTCGCTTTCGGCGAAGCGGCGTTTCGCGGATTGTTCTTCCTCGTCAATTGGCGAGCCTTTGCGCTTTAGGGGCGTCATTGTCGCGAGTGCGCGAGTTGGGTAAGAAGTGAGATTGGGCTGCGTTAGGGGGGAAGCGGAAATATTTCCGTCCCATACATATCAGCCCACAACCAATTCTGTCGGGCGCAAGATGTATGTCGATCGTGAGGTGCATATTACAAGCTAGGCAACTTGGTAGACTGATTGTGCATCGAGAAGAAAAAGAGGCTGTAATTGGTGGTCTTACTCCTGATCTGCCTTTATCTACGGTACTCAGTTGAGATGCGCCAATCTCTTGAAACTGAAGACGCACCTGGACCGATTTCCGGGAGTAAAGTAAGCGAGGTTTGAGGGATTGGAGGGTATTCGATTCTGGTCGTTGTCTAATCGTTGCATCCAACACGAGCATTCATCGGGTGCCAGGCTGTTCAAAGCCCGGAAACTACTATACTCCGAAGGCCAAGACTATGTCCAAATTTTGCCTTGACATGGTACATTGTGATGTGTCCCCTTTGAGATTTCGATATCAGGAAGCTCTTGAGAGGAACTCAAAACTTAAGCGAGCCACCCCCCAGAGCGCGTTTATCACCAACATACAACAAGAATGGGTGGATCATGGATCTATACGGAACGGGCTGGAAGGCTCGGGCAATGTTGAGACGACATTCAAGTCATCAAGAGCTCGTCAAATGGAGGGTTTTTGAATCCTCATCTGAGGCTCTCATCTCCAGAGCCCCCGAAGTTGGTTCTTAGCGAGGGCAATAGAGGCTTTTAGCTTCCACTCCATCCTGGAGCTAGATGCTCTTTCTCACGACAACAACGATATCGCTGCACGGATGCTTGCTGCGAGAGCTACTGTGACATTCGTCCAGTCCTCAGTATATAGAAAGACTAAGTCGTTTATCCATCTACAGGAACAGTAGGTACTTGTGTGCATCACTTACCGCACGGGCGTCTTCCCAAAGTAATTGATCAAGCAATGCTTCAAGAAACACCCTGAGCACTGGGAGCCTCGCAGAGCACTCGTGACTTTCGTGAATCAACCTCGTTACCTTGATCGACCTTTGTGAATTCCCAACAACGAGGGAATCAAGCTCCCGGAGTCGGACCAGCCACCTTTATCTGGTCTAGAAGCTTCCCGCGGTTGGGGATGCAATTACTGGCCCAGAAAACGGAACGTGTACGAGGCACCTTCTGCTCCCGTGCTCGGTATCATCTTCCACCAAAAACATGGCGAGCTTGAGAACATCAGTGAAGCACAGCCCACGAGGAGCTCGAAAGGGAGCTGGGTGACGGCTGCCTGGACTTTTGCGCGGCGGTCCTGGACCACGTCCTTCAAAACAACCTCCATGAATATGCCCTCGTCGCATTTGCCGCCGTTCCCGGCATCAACCAGGAAGGCAATGGCTTTGTCAGCCCCGAGTCGTACACCCCCTGTCTCTCTGCCATCATTGGCATAGCATAGCATAGCTGCTATGCGTCCGCAGGAGAAGACGCTGTTGTTACAGCCCAACGAGACGATTGAAGATGTCCTACCCACAGCTAGCAAACTAGACATCTCTCTCATCGGTCTTCGGGCATGTCCAATCCTCGCAGCAACCAGGCGAAATATTCGTCACTGGCGATTCTGATGTCAACGAAGGTGACAAGCAACCATGCTAGCGCACACGAGCCTCTTCCTTGGGGCCAGAAGGAAAGGCAAGGCCTCCCAAAGCGGATTCAAGATGGAAATCTATTGCAATGTTTCGAAAAGGTTCAGTCTGTTGCCCCGAGCCAGCAGCAGACGCTGCGCACCAGGGAGACAAATGAAGAACAAGTTCAATATCCTGAAGTCAAACTACACCATCTGGGTGAAGTTGAACAGCAACTAGGGCTGGGGCAAAAAGCCCAATGGGCGCCCGTGGAGGTGATGGAGGAACTCTACAAGCACGATGAGGGCACATGAAAGTTTAAAGACAAGCCACTCGATTTTGAGGACGATCTATGCGCCCTCATTGATACCGTGGCCATGCGTTTGTTTCCCGAGCCCTCCCAGTCAAACGACCATTCAGAGCGGTTAACCCAGGCGAAAACGATACGAGGTGGAAGAAATAATCCCAACGGCACAGGCGGTGATAGAAGGGCACTCTCCACGATCCAAAGACAATGCCAGGTGGCTGTCCGCGAGGAAATTAGGATTGCCAGGAAGCCTGCCCCGGATGAGGTGAGCGAGTCAGGGCCCTCCATTGCGTGCTCCCTGGTCCAGCTTGGAGAGTATCTCAACAAAGCTGATCGAATCACGCTGTGGATGCTCAACTCAGTACTTGGTATTTGATCCTTTGTACCAATTCCGTGCTTTTCTTTGAAAAAGCTATCCATGGAAGCAGTCACTGAAAGTCACTCTCGTTGGGAATCGTATGAAGCATCCAGGGCTGCGAATCATGGGCAGTTTCGAGATTGACAGCGTGAGGGATGTTCCCGTTACACATTGTCCCGTAACTTCGTCCTTATTGCAGCAGTTTGACATCAATGTAACCCGTAGCAAACCCATCAATTCCCACTCTTCTCCTGCAATGAGGCAGGAGAGAAAAAAAATCGTGAACCCTGGGCGACTTGAACGCCCGACCCTCTGGATATCCCAATTTCAGATAACTGGAATCAGATACGCTACCACTGCGCCAAGGGTCCTTTCTATATTAATGGACTGTTGTAACTTATTATATAAAGTGCATGAGTTGTGATGCAGTTGGTGACGCAGTTGGTGACGAGGATCATCCTGTCCACCTCTCGGTGAGCGTGACCACTGGCTATGGAAGGGATATCGCGACAGTGTTCAACAACCTCAGCTTGCCTTTGAGTCCGTTACTACATCTACAAAGGAATGCTACGGCCAGTCAACCACCTCGACTTGCCATCAGTCGCAACGACCACGAACACAACAACCCTCGAGACGCTTAGACAAAACAAACAATATCTCATATAAGCCGCATCTTTAGAAAAAAAAAAGGGTATTACACAAACGGAAAAAGAAACCACAAAAAAAACACCACAGCCATGCCATGCAAGAGTCTGATTCCCCTTTAAACCACGATCAACGCTCCCACGAATGCGGCCAGAGAGATCCCCCCGGCAATTACAACCTTCGACGCATCACTCTTCTTATCCCCCTTACCCGACTGGGAGGGGGCCGCAGCACCCGACTCCTTCGCACTACCATCGCTTCCTCCCGAAGTAGCAGCCGCACCGGATTCCGTCGCGCCGGAGAAAGCAGCTGTTTCTTTTCCAACGACAACGCCGCCGGAGGCGAGGGAGACTGCTTCCCCGGAGATTGTAGCTGCGGGACCTCCGAGGACGAGGGTGTTGCTTCCTAGGACGGCTTCGGTGATTGTGCTGCCGCCTGTGGTGGCTGTCGTTTCGATGGCGGTCATGACGACTCCGGAGGTGATGGTCACGACTGCGTCGGATGAGTCCGTGCCGTTTTGGCTGTTGGTGACTTCGTCGGACATGGAGACGCCAGGACATTTGAGGATGCAGGCATCCATTTTGCCTTGGGCGGATTTGTCGTTCAAGTCTTGCGGGTAGTTGTCCATTGCACATTTACGAGCGCAGTCGTAGCTGTCGCAGGGGAGGGTGTTGGGATCCCAGAACATGGCCCCGCCAAGTTTGTTCTCGTAATCGGTGTAGTTCCCGTCCGCGCCGTCCAAGTGGAATTTGTTGGAGAAGGTCACCGGGTTGTTGTCTTTGCTGATGTCTTGGACCGCGATCGAGTAGTAGTCCGCTGAGGGACCGACGGTCTTGGGGATCTTGAGGGTCATGGGGCTGGAGAGTTTCGTGCTGTTTTTGAGGAAACCTGGGGGGAGGCGTTGGTAGGGTCCCTTTGGGTGGGATGGGATGGACTTACAGGTTGGGCCGTTGGCTCCGGCGAGTGCGGCGCCGAGGAAGACACGGTAGTTGACATCGTCGGCATCTTTGAACGTGATTTGGAAGTCATCGTCGGCTTTGACTTTCTGCGGCGCGGTGAGCCCATCAATGGCGGCGGCGGCGACACTGATCAGCGAGAGCAAGGCAGTGGCGTGTGTATACATTGTTGCTGGAGCAGATTAAAAAGATTGCGGTTTTTGCTGTTGCTGAGTTGCTGAGGCTGGACCAGAATAATAAAGCAGTAGAGTTATGGATAATTATGAACCAAACGAACGACTGTGGTGAGCAAACGAGTGTGCGTAGGAGAAAAGGAGAGGACAGGGGAAAAGGAGGATGTAGGCCATCTTGCGGCCCTCTTTGTCCGTATTTAGAAATTAAATTGCCGTGTTTCTTGCCAAATCTCCGGAGAGTTTCTCTCCTAATGTATTTCCGGCAGCAGGCCTTTACTGGGATCCATCTTGAATCCATTTCTGGGATCAAGTCTGGGGAAGACCGGGGGTACCCGGCTGTCGTGCGACCGGAAGGAACATGGGGCATATGTGGTGCTCGTATCACATCAGATGCTGTGCACTGGTATCGCTGCAGGACTGCACCCAAAGTGCTGCCTGATATCATCCATAAAGGGTGACATGTCGTCAAGCAGCGCCCGGACGGCTGGCGTTGTGGCGAGTAATGGATGCTGCATAAACAGCTGCACGATGACATCTCGAAGCCCACGGTCCGAGTCGATCGTGGAACAGTAAACTTCCTCTATCGCTTCAGGCACCTCGGGCGAGTCGTAGTGACAGGCAAGCGATATTTCAAACTTGGACCGCGCCAGCTCTTTGAGTCCAGGAATGTCGTACTTTTCGGCTAGCGCGTACACACGCACATGCAGGAGCAGCTTGGGAGGCCTGTTGTCCGTCTCCATAATGGTACTCTGAGGTGGAGGAGTGTCTTGTCTGGGCGAACAGCAAGGACTGCTCGGTGGAGAGAGGCCAGCCATTTCGAGCAGAGGGTCTCGAATTTGGCTAAAGTCAACCTTCTTTGGCCGGCGAGAACGATGTCTTAGCTCGACGGTTGGAGTCTGCTCTTGAATATCGTAGTCGAGACGGTAAAAGTAGCAAATCATCTGCTCCACGGCCTCCTCATCGTCGTCGCTTAGGTCAACGACAAGGTCCCTGGCTTCACGAAACGCATGGCTGCAGGCGGCATCGAAGAAGCTGCTTCTTGAACACAGCAATGCCCTATGTACTGCCCACTGCCGACTGTTGCAGACGAGCCGTAGGTCTGAGAACTTTCCATTGACCAACAGTCTGTCCAGTCAGATTTGATTACAGGCCAATTGATCGACTCACACTCCCAGCGCGTTCAGCAACTCGGCCTGGGGGCTCACTGGGCTTTCCAAGGGCAGAAACATGTAGGAAGAGACTGAGTGGAACAGACACGAAATGATAAAGATAAAAGGAATCTTCCAAACGTCAATAGCCGCGCAGGGTCTTGCGTGCCGCAGCTGTGACCCGCATGTCAGAGCCTGAGACCGTTCCGGTCTTTGTTGGTTGGTCATCGTGCAATCAGCCCCCGTCCGGCGGCTTTGCCATTAGAAGGGCCCAGGCTACCGGCTCGTCAGCCTCTTGAACTCGCGAACAGGTGGGACGCCACGGCGCGCTCCTAATGGGCTGTCCTCATTGCAGTCTCGTGTGAAGTGTAGCACAACATTCTTCACGTCTAGATGAACGACTCCCAGCGCCAATTAGATACTTACTGTACCCGGAAAAGTAGACACTGTGTGCACCCAGAGCCATGCCATCCGCTTGCTAGGAGAAACGAAGTAATCACCGGCGCTTTCGTCGGGTGTAATCAAGCCACGGCGGATATGTTTCTTTTATAAAGTGCTCATCTCAGAGCACACGTTACCAAATTGGCCTCATGACACTTTACCTATGGGCCCAGTAACGTACATTCTTTCGTCTCCCAGTCTTGGGAATTCAAAGGCTCTCTCCCTCTACTCTGTAGTTCTTGCACAATGGCCGAAATCTACAGTACATCTGCTGTCATCTCAAAACGACGTTCTCCGAGCGGCATTCGGATAGACACGAAACCGGCAGTGTACATGCACGTCACCGACCGGGAACGGGCAGCAATGCTCCCTGTTCTGCCGGCCGGCTACACTTTTGACAGCTTGCAAAGACAAAGGGGGCCCCGCCATGATACGATCTTATTTTCCCGTTTCAGATGTAGAAATCCTCTCTCACCTGACATACGCCATCCTGGCGTCGATCTTCACAACGTCTCGTGCAATCAGCATCGCCGTGCGTCTGGCGGCAAGATGGCAGCCACAATAGGGTTAGGATTAGGATTATGTTTTGCAATCGTCTTCCTTGAAGGATAAAAGTATAGATGGCGAGATTGATCCATCATGGCGCCCTGTGGATCGACTAAGCGCGGTCTAGCATGGCCCAAAGAGAATACAGATCCAGTAAAGCTGTTCTGCTGCGATGGGTCTAAGGTGTCTTGGCTCTACAACTGGTCCCCCGGTCAGACGACAGACTGCCCGCTCAGCTTTGCGCCCATGCAGTGGAATAATGTGAACATCGATGACCTCCCTGCCAAGCTTTCTGATTGCAATGCAGAAGTGTTGCTCGGTTTCAATGAACCAGAACTGCCGGATCAGAGCAACATGACAGCCGAGCTTGCCGCAAATGAGTGGCTCAGGGTCATCGAACCTCTCCGCAAAGAACGGGGCATCAAATGCGGCAGTCCTGGAATATCATCTGCGGGACATGCCGTTGGCTGGCTCAATGATTTTTTGAGGAGAATCAAAGAAGGCGGCAGTGATGTAGACTTCTACTGCCTACACTGGTATGGATCAGAACTCGGGCAGTTCTACGACTACATCTGGTCGGCTTATTATCAGCTGCCTGACCAGAAGAAGCCTGTGTGGATTACAGAGTTTGCTTGTGAGTCTTCTTGTCCACTTGGGGTTGGGAAACTAACCATAGAGGCACAAACTGGAACGAAAGCGCTCCACTAGATAAAGGACATGTCGAGGACTTTGCACGAGAGAGCTGCAAATACCTCGACTCGCTTGACTGGGTAGAAAAGTATGCCTGGTTTGGAGCGATGAGAAATTGCGGAACGGTGGGCAAATTTGCGAGAATGATCGATGACGAGGGCTGTCTGACGCCTCTTGGTAAGACATACTGCGGGATATGATGTCTACATGACAATGGAATACGCTATTTTCAGCCGGGTTGAGCTTGGCCGTTGTGATGTGACGTTGCCTTGACGTTGTGACTTTGACGTTGTGACGTGATCGTAACGTCGTGGCGTTGTGGTTGTGACAATGTGGCAACACCCCGCCCCCACTCCAATCATAACGCCAACCACGCGCGGCGGTCGAAAAAAAAAAAGAGACCACGGTCACACAATCTCGCATGAGCACTATGGCCGACTTCAAATTATCGGCCGTGCTTGTGGGCCATGAAGACGATGTGCGTGCGGTTGTGTTTCCGACGGCCGCCACTGTCTTCTCGGCGTCGAGGGACACCACTGTTCGCCGCTGGGAGCTGGCCGGCAGCACTCAGCCAGACTTTGACAGTTTAATCTTCATCCAAGGCACTCACTGGAACAACGCAATTGCCTATACACCACCCTCGGAGGCTTTTCCGCACGGAGCGGTGGCCACGGCAGGCCGAGAGGCGGTCGTTTACGTTAAGCCCGCAAACGATGCAGACGACAACCAGTCTCACCTCCTCATCGGCCATAGCCACAATATCACCTGTCTG